CAGTATAATGCTATTGCTGTGTTTGTAACATGGTATGTTTGGGTCAATATACTATGGTATATTGTACGATAGACTATGGCATTTAATGTACAATAGACTACAGCATAATACTATTGCTGTGTTTGTAACATGGTATGCATTGGTCAATATACTATGGTATATTGTACAATAGACTATGGTATTTGATGTACAATAGACCACAGTATAATGCAATTGCTGTGTTTGTAACATATGGTATGTATGGGTCAATACACTATGGTATTGTATGAACTGTACTGTACAATACTAAGACTATGGTATAATGTACAATAGAGCACAGTATGATGATATTGTTTTGTTTCTAACATGGTATGTGTAAGGTGATGAGCATTCCATCTGTTTCCCTTTTAGCATAGTTCTGTTTCTCATGATGTTCATTTGTCGCTGGGTGTACCCTTCAGAGCATGATGGGTCTGCAGGTAACATTTATTATTTTACACTGTACTCAATGAATTCTCATTGGTCGAAAACCTACAGATAATTCTAACTATCAGCATGCRCCAGTGATTTTGCAGCAGTSGATAGTTATCTGTAGGAAGTTATTAGCAGATGATGGTTATCTTTAGGTTGTTGTTGTTGTTTTAAATGTCATGTATTATTTTGAAACTTTTCTTGTAAGAAAGTTCMTTATGAAGTTTCTATCTATGTATTATCAGTTAATCTATTTAAACAATGTATAATAAACTATTTATTGAGTTCAGTTTTGATGATATCCGAAAATTTTATCAATGTCTCGGCAACGTTGATAATTTTGGATATCATCAAAGCCTCATGCAATATGTTTTTTAATTATTTGATGATGATAATAATGATAATAATGCTGATGATTACCCAAGATAAGAGCTAGTTTGTCTATACTGTTCAAATCATTTGAGAACTGGCCATAATGATTGTTGTGGTTTCTTAAGGTGTGGAACCAACTACACCAGGCGGTCATGCAAGCTCGTCACTTCGCTGGATATACTCAGATCAGATGTATTTTGTCATGAAGAATGTGGCCATACTTGGGGTWATCATGTTCTACTTCTATATATGTGATAGGTAAGGCAGTTGTAATGGAAAATTAACAGAAGTTAAGCCTGGTTTTCACTAGCGATACAAAAGGTTTATCCTTGTGTTTGTGCATGCAATTCTCAGTGGAGTCTYATGCTTGCGCTTATGCTTATGCTTGCGTTGCTAGTGAACAACAGGCTTTAACACAAGTAAATCTCTCATTGTCAGTAAATCTAATGCTATCTTTCAATGCCAGCCATTTCTGTGACACATGGCTGTGCCTTTGAAAACATTGTATTTTCCAACAATGTCATGAAAACAATTTGATTGACGTACACCAAAATCGTTTTAGTTGTGAAGGCAATTTTTGGGTGTGAAGCCAAATGTTAATTGTGAAGGCAAATTGAATAATTTTAGTCGTGAAGGCAAAGTGTGCTTCAGACAAAACCTTCAAACAGAACCTACAAAGAGCACGGTGCCTGATGGACCATGATAATGGAAATAGCAGCACCACACCACAGGGAGCCCATATATARTAAACAAGAGTGTGACCGTTCTACGTTCTTTATCTTTGTAGGACTAATCTCTTCTTCAAGGAACAAAAACAATACAGCAACTTAGTGTTTGGGATTAGCATGTTGGCATTTCTAGCCCTTGGGGCCTACACATGGGTACCTGCAGAACAGGTAAATCTCATTTTCTCTCTCTTTCCCTTCCACCAAAGGTTTGATTTTTATCCCAGCAGTTCAGCCCTTACCAGCAAACCAGCAAGCAGCAAAGTCCTTTCAAATCCACCCCTCCCCTCCCCAGAAGATTTTATTTTTATCCCTAACAGTTYAGCCYTATGWGGACATCCTCTAACTTTCCCACTGAAAGTTYAATTTAATAAATTGATAACAARTAAACCAGAGCAGCAAAGTCCATCCCAATCCTTCYCTCTTCTAAAGGTTTCATACCCAACTAGCAGCAAGTAACCAGAAAAGTGAATCCCCCACTACCCCTCCCATCCCTGACGGTTTAAGGGTTTACCAAGAAAAATGACATGCCATTACACTCAAATTGCTTTCACTTCTTTCCACACGACTCCCTTACAAAAAAACTTGTCAAAAAACTTGTCATCGCTTATCACTACCGCAAGTACAGCAGTGGCGCAGCTAAACGGGGTCGAACTGAAAGCATGTGAAGGCGCCTCTGGCAGCCGCTATACATTCCATGTATGACCCCGGAGCACAGCTCTAACCAGTTTGAATTAGTTAGGGTTGATTTGAGAGGAGGGAGGAAAAACCGGTGGACCGGAAAAACCCTCGGAGTTAGAAAGAGAACCAACCAACTCAGCTCASATGCGCGTAACTACGGTTACGGTACAATACAGTACAGCTACGAGCTCGCCGTGTTATGATTATTTTCCACCGATATGAAATGTGTTCTAATCCATATTGTTTTATTCTTCCAGATTACTGTTATCAATCGAGATCAGAGTGATGAGTGGAGAGGATGGATGCAGCTTGTTATACTACTGTATCACTATACCGGCGCCAGTAAGGTGGGTGATGTCACACAGTTTACGATGACGTCATATAGACTGTAACTGCTTAGTGACATCACACGGTTAACAATGATATCGTGTGGCTTATGTACTTTGAGTGATGTCACAGGGCTGGCTGAGCAGTGACCTTCCGCGATGTCATTGGTTTAAATTAACGATGCAGGGATGGCGGAGCACTTTTTTGATTGGGGGGCTCAATAGTGACATTGTATGTCAAGGTGGGGGGGGGCTGAGTTTAGTGAAAATGTATTAAAATTTCAAAAAAAGGGGGGGGGCTAAAGCAACCCAGCCCCCCCGGTTCCGCCGTCCCTGCGATGTCATCAATTCCGTACTTTGACCGTGCCGTGTGCCGTGCCGCTTCAAAGTCATAGGAAAGCCGCTCTAATGAATATTGACCACTCTTGAATGGCTTTTGCTTTGTGAACGATGAGCAACAGACCTTTTTACCGTTTGAATTAAGAAAWTATGGGAGATGCCGAGGGGCAACTATTGGAAAATTATAGAGTATCTTTTTAYATAACYYTACATTTTACCAAGACTTCAAATTATGTCAGTGAAAACGTAACCCCGTCACTCGATGCTTTATGGATTTTATACGTGTTTGCACCCTTAGTATCCAATAATTCAAGATAACTGTCGTATCAGTAAATAGGTCTATTGAACGAATGGTTGGATGAGTTGCCGACCTACTGATTCTTGAATCTTATCTTTTTCAGAAACTTCCAATCTACGTGTTTATACGACTGTTAGTAGCCTCATATCTCTTCATGTCTGGCTATGGTCACTTTACGTTCTTCTGGAAAAAAGCAGATTATAGCCTCTATAGGTTTTGTCAGGTAAGAGATTCAAAGAAATACTAGCCAGTGGCCCTGGTAGGGGGGAAAAAATTGGGAGATGTCGGAGAATTTTGTATTTTGTAAGGTAAAYATTTAAAAGTTTCAAAAGGCAGTCAATGTTTGGGTCAGCAAATGCAAACAAATCCTCTTTCTTGGGGATTTGCCAGGTAAAGCAATGCTTGGAAAAGGAAAAAAAAGAGCTTAAAAGCAGCTTTTAAAAAATCTAATGCTCATGGATGAGAATTGATCCTTCTTTCCTACAAGAATGCTGTACAGATAACGTAATCATTTAATCTATGAATCAYTTTTTTAAGGTAATGACTCGAATGAACCTGTTCGTAACATCTCTGTGTCTGGTTATGGGACGTCCTTATCAATTCTACTACTTCGTACCTCTCGTTTCCTTCTGGTTTGTTGTTATGTRCCTTACGATGGCTGTGTTGCCTAGAGTTACGGCTGCTTCAGTCAGAGGTTTGCATTCCTTTCTTGACTAAGGGACAAAAGATGTCGCGTATTTTTTAGTATTTTGACAAAGGCTAGCCTCCTTCGCAGACGTTGTTAGGGTCGTCACGCAACGCTAAGAGAAGCGTTGCGTGACGACCCTAACAACGTCTGCGAAGGAGGCTAGACTAAGGCGGGTACATCCCAATTTATTCCAGCTGAGCTCCATGAATGAATGAATACCTTTCTTAGATTAGGCTGGATAGCTCACTCAGTAGCTCCCGATTATTGATTACATATATCAAAAAAACGTTTATCCAAAGACGCCCTCCTAATACCAGTGGCTTGAGGGAGGTAGACAAAGGGTGCACGACCAACGCTTCCCTTAAGATTTTCAAAACCCCCGTCCCGAATTAAATTGGTTYTCTTCGTGCCTTGTATTGATGGGAACCCTGTGGATTGGGCGGGAACTTTTCGTGCCAAAATGAACGCGCGCTCCCCTCGCTACGCGAATGATGCGCATTAGATTAATTTGGTTTATTTTGGTCTTCACTAAGATAAGATTTTTGGTTTATATCCCCTGTTTTGCTGTTTTATCGCAGATGATCCAAAACAGTACATATTCATATGGCTGAAGTTTTTCATTCTCTTTGGTGTTATCTATATCATCTGGTCTTCTCCTGTAAGTTGATAAACTAGGATGGTCAATATAGAGSGGTTGTCGTACGAGTGTATAAAAACTACGGTACTGACTTAAAGCACGAACACGGTACAACATGCTTTAACATTAATGTTACGGCTACAGTACGATACGGTATGGCTTCAGTACGGCTGCAATTCCCACTCTTACGAAAACCGCTCTAATAATATGACAGTAATCACATATAAACGAAAGCAAATGAATGTGGAAAAATCCTATCATAATAAGTTAATCGAAGACCGATCTACCTACCTACCAAACGATCGATCGAACCGAACTAATTGACCGACCAACCCTTCTTACAACCGAACCGTCCAACTTAAAGAACAAAGKAATGGAATTTGTTTATACATGGGTRCYTCCGTTGATGATTCCAAGTGCTGTTTGCAGTTTCATACGATAAATCCATGGAATGCTTCATTYGAGATTTGTTTTAATTGTCAGGTGCTGTGTGATTGGCTCTTCTCACAGTGGGCCATAAAAGAACTCTTTATTGATAGTAATGAACGAGTYAGAGAATGGAGATTTAGGTCATGGCTCGATCGATATGTGAGTAACACAGTCTTGAAATATAAATTTTAGCAATACCTTGAAACAACTTGGTGTTTGGTCAGTTAGCCGAGTGCTCTACCGCAAAGCCTTCCTGCTCATTGGTACAAAGTTCATCACGGTACTAAAATAATGTCCTCGAAAAGGGTTCAGAACATACCTTTTTACCGATAAGGCGGCCATCTTGAATTTTATAGTTTTAATCAAAACATTATGGGATGCCGAGGGGGCAACTATTGGAAAATTTCATAGACTGCACAGCTGTAAGGGTGTCTTTTTACATAACCAATTGAATTTGCTGGTAGTTGGAACAATATACGAAACACCAAGACTTCAAATTATTTGAAAACGTAACCCTGCGACTCTATGCTTTATTAATTTTCTGCGTGCTTGCCCCCCTCCCCCCCTCCCCCGGCATCCAATAATTCAAGATGGCCGCCGTTTCAGTGAAAAGGTCTATTCAATGGGGAATCAKGCATATTGTGCGGGCGACATAGGGGAAACTCTAGTTAACTTGAAAAGAGAGACACGGTTATTTCAAAGATTATTGTTGAAAGCATTGCAATAGTGATAATTGTAAACACATTGGAAATGTTATTTTATTTTTTCAGATCGTCTTGTATGGGATGGTTTTCGCGTTCGCATATAATACTGCAAARCAATTAAACGTAATAGACGACACAAAAAGAAAGAGATTTTTCAGTCTTACGCACACTAACGTCACTTTATTCATGTCTGCGTTGGCTCTGGTGGTAAGTGGATTGAACTATTGACTCACCTGARGTATGGACCTTTGTCACATGGCGGCCATGTTTATTCTCTTGAGAATAAAACCTTTGTTTAATCCGCATGAATTTATTTTCGAGGACTTGAATACGAGAATACGTGTGGTGGAATCTATTGTTTAAACCAACATGGCTGCCGCATGAAAAAGGCCTATAGGAAGGTTGGTAACAAACAAAGGAGCAAGCTCAGTCCCATGATCCTCTGCGTCACAAGTCCCTACCATTCTTCCTTTAATTTCGGAAAAACACATGCAGGGCTAGAAACAAGCATTAGGAACTAGTACAAATGCTAGTAAATGCTTTCCTTGACTTTGTTAGTTGTAAACCAAATCTTGCAAACATTAGCAAGTAAATGTTTCTTGGATCTGACCTTCTATATTCTATACTTGCTAGGTTTATGGAATTCAAGCTTTCACATGTAGCAACAAGCCATCGTGTAACGCAACTCACTCAGTTGCATCGTGCATACCGGTAAGACGTATCCCTGAGTAGGTCACAATCCTAACATATGTTTTTCTTGTTATTGCCTAGAGGTAGAAACGTCGTATATGGTACATTATTTTATTCCTACCAATAAATAGTGATTAGCGTGTTTGTACAATACATGAAGTACCATATGAGTATGGGACCGTCCATTTGTCAAGGCGGGGCATGGCGGAGCCGGCTGGTGGGATTTATGGGGGGAGGGGCACGTAAAAAATATGGTATTTAAGAAGGGCAACCCAAAAATGATTAGCAAAAATAATTAATGAAATAAAAGGTTTATCCTGTTTTGATAGGGGGCCACGTRAAAAAATTCAGGTTGGGGCCAMAAAATCCCAACCCTTCTGCTCKTAAAAAYAGACTAAAGTAGGGTTAATTCAACTGTTGATATTTTAATGATCTTGGTATTTTTCAGATWACTGCATATCTTCTGTTAAGAAACCTTCCTACCTTCCTTCGTACAAAATTTAGTCGTTTCTTTGCCTGGGTAGGAACGATRTCTTTAGAGGTATGTGACGGTGTCTTGATAAAGGATTTGGATGATATATATATATAGTATCTATAACTGTATAGACCTTTTCAGCCTCCCTCGTTTGTTCAGTTGTGCACATTTCAGACCATGTGATGCCACTCTTGGAAGTTGATTCTTTCATGTGTAAATATTTTAACATGTATCGGCGTCATAAAAGAACAATTCTCAAGGGAATGTYATGTGATCTGAACTAATTTGCATACGAAGCTACGAAAAAGTCTGTTAGTGTGGTCATTCGTTTGTTTTGAATTTTTGGGCTATTTGGGGTTTGTTGGATGGGTAGAGTCGATCTTTCGTACCGTCTTCCGTGCATGCGATATCGGGGATACGTAGAGTCGATCTTTCGTACCATCTTTCGTGCATGCGATATCGGGGATTCTTTATTTCGGTCTATATGTTGCTCATCCAGCCATCTAACTATTCGTTCGTTTGTTCTTTCTTTATTTCTTTTGCACATTCACTCTTTGAATACACTGAGTAATACTTAACAGGGGCCAGGATTTTCCCGGGGGGTGGGATGAACAAATCCGATTAGTCGCCCTTTTGTTTGCCCCCTCCTAAACTCCAAACCAAGTAATAATAAAAAACAAGAGGAAACGAGCGAAAGTACAATAAATCAGAAACTAAGATGAAAAACCTTCATTGACTGTTTTTTCCTTCCTAGCTATTYATTGGTCAGTACCACATTTGGCTGGCCCAAGACACCAAAGGAATCCTGGTCCTAATTCCTGGTCAACCACTGCTGAACATCATCGTCACTACTTTCATTTTTGTTTGTATTTGTCATGAGGTACACAAAGTATCAGCTGAGCTTACCAAAGCAATGATTTCCAAAGACATCACGACTTTGTTAAGAAGGCTTTTCATTTTCATCATTGCCCTTATTATTATCTGGTGGCACAAAACTCATCATACGATGAGACCAAGATTATATTGAAGGGCTGGGATAGGCTTTAGGCTGCGTTCATAATGTATGGTAGAGGGAGGGGGCAGGTGAAATCTTTAAATGACAAACAAAATCTTAAGAACCCCCCCCCCCTTGAAGTCCCCCCCCAAAAATAACTATCCCCCCGGGCAATCTCTCCTAGCTTCTTCTAAAAATTTTGCATTCCCCACAATTCTCTGAAAAAAAAATTTCAAACCCTCCA